TACTGAGGAGCCCAGAACTGGACACAGCACTCCAGATGTGACCTCACCAGGGCTGAGCAGATGGGCAGGATCAGCTCCCTCGACCTGCTGGCAATGCTCTTCCCAGTAGAGCTTGTTGGCTCTTGTAGCAACAAGGGCACACTCTGGCTCATGGACAGCTTGCTGTCTAACAACTGGACAACAGCTGGATCCCACCTTATTTCCTGAAATGTGTGATGTTTTATGTCTCCTAGCATTCTCATCTGGATATTTGGGCTTTACTAGTCTAATTCTTGAGGATTAGAAATACACTGGTAGACGTCCAGCCTCCCTCAGATCCAGTCCCAATGAACTCTTGCAGCAATGAGTTGCACCAGCTAACCATTAATGGTATGAAGAAACATTTCCATATGTCACTTTTCTTTCCAGTTGCTGGCAGGAAATCACTCTGTTTTTCCTTCTTTATTTCAGTCAGTTGATCTTTCTGCTGAACAAGGTGATCCACCCAGACCTAGCAGCTGTGACTTGCTGTGATTCACACGGAGAGGAATGTGGTGATAAATGGGATTTTTCAAGTTGGAAGAAGATCCGTGGGTTTGGAGGGCTGATCTACAACATGCACCATGGCTTTGTGTGCGCAGTCAAGTTCTGTTATAACCTGTAAAACTAGTTTGCAGTTTGGAAGTGGATGACTTAAGTGTCATTGAGGTATTTTTTTAAGTGTCATAGGTATTTTTAAAGTAATTGCCTGTATTCTTTTGATGAACTTTGCCTGAAGACTAATGACTGTAAACATTCCTGCATAATAAGAGGCCTCATTAGCAGATTGTCAGCAATTGTCTTGGAAATAAAAAAAAATGTAGTCTTCATGGCTTGAAGGAAATGGTGTTTTTTCTTTTGCTTTTATTTTTTCAAAAATTTTTGTTGCACTGAATGTGCTGATGCTTTGGTTGCTTTTTCATTTTATAAAAGTATGTGTTTACCACACTTTCCTCAGTGACATTATGAAACAACTATGTTTTTGTGATACTAGGAAGTTATGAGGTTTGCAAGGCAAAATTTGGATGCTTATAATGACACTGTCTGTTTTATTTTTTTTTTTTTTACAATTAAATTGTCCTCTAAGGAGTTTATTCACATGCTATATATTTGTTGAAAGTTGTTGTGAAATCTGGCTTAGTCAGTAGCATGACCTGATTTGATTGCTCTCCCCATCTCAGGCCAACTAATGTTATTGGTCATTATTAAGTGACTAACAGTGCTATATTAACTTTTATGAGTTTCTACCACAAGATATAAAACACAGGTAAAATCACAGAGAATAATTAATCCTGGAAACCACAACATACATGGCAAATGTTCACCCCGTACGTTCACCCCGTACTTGAGAGGTTAATTATGCATATTTTATTCCACATGCTTTTGTGTATAAAGTGTCCATTATGTGAGCAAATTTTTTCCAAAATATTTTGAAGCCCTTTTGTCATTATGGAACATTTGAAGGAGACAAGCCTGGAGTCTCTTTTTGTTTTTCTTCCAAGGAATAGACAGTGATACAAAACAACTTTTCTTCAGTCTTACTCAGGAAAATTTTAAAAACAATGTTAACTGAGTAATAAGTGCAAAATTGAACAAAAACATTAAAAAGACATGCATTAGAACATTCTGAAAATGGAAAAGAAATACATTAAAAAAACCAGGAAGTTACAGATAATACAAGACATTAATTTTATTTTTTTTAAATTAATTGTTGGTAGTTTTGTAGACAAAACTTTTTCTCTACCTACTAATCAGTGGGAGTATGGATAACCTTTTCCCAAATTTTATTACATTTATAGTACTTTTGGCTTCATACCACAACTGCTGTCAGCAAAGGCAGAAAGCACACATGGCTGTTTCTCTCCCAGAGATACCATAGAGCTACTGCACCTGATATGACCTAGCCTTGCTACAGCAATGGTCTTTGCAAGCCCACAAACTCTGCTATTGATTTCACCGTGCTCCTTTCCCAGCAACTTGACACTGTGGAGCGCTGGCACCATTGAAATCTTTCAACATGGAAGCTCTTCATCGCCAAGGTCGGTAAGGAAGCTACAGTTTCAGGAGCTGAAGTCTGTATCATGACAGCTTTAAATTATCTCAGCCCTGTAGTGACTGCTAGTCTCCTCACCTTGAGCCTCACTGCACCTGCTGGTTTCTGCTTGGTGTATTTGAAAAGAACCCAGTGATAGAGTCTCCTCTTCCAAGACATGGTGTTGCTGACTTTCTGTTGCAGACCCATCAACCCACCCCATCTTAAAGGTTTAAATGCACATAAATGCAACATTTATCCACATTCTTGAGATGCTAAAAGATATGTTATATTTGGCCTTTTTATGTTAAATGAAGAGTAACCCCTAGGAAGACTTGGTAGCCTGTCTTTCATTGGTTAGAGCTGATTTTCCCTCAGTTAATTCAAAGTTCATTTGCTATTTTAATGGAACCCAGTAAGATATCATTCTGTGGGAGGGCAGTACAGTGGGGAAACAGTGAGGTTTGACTTGCAGCCAGAATTAGCCAGAGAATTTCTGGATTTTGGCTGCACTTGCTGTAATAGCAGATTATATGCACAAAATTAGAAAACCAAATCTGTTTACAGTGAAAACTTCTCTATCCTGTCAAAGCCTGCTTAGGTGTTCCCTGTGCAATCCACCACTACCTGTTTCCCTCAGACATCTGATGACTGGATCACAGCAAAGCATCTGAGAAGTCATTTGCTTTGGTCCCTTGGATGAGCTTTCATGAGTATATTAAAATGAAAACAAAGACAGAGAAAGACTAGAAAATCTACAACTTCATTCTCTTCATTGTTTCTCCATAGCCTAGCAATTATTCATGAGATAAATGACTGAATTTTAACATACATGGCAAAACATGTTCCATTAATATTTGTGAATGAGCTACAATTATGAAACTGGTTTGCTGTCTCTGATTTTTTGCCAAACCTCTTCTAGGCAGACTATTTTTGTCATGGGAATTGGCCATAAACATTTTATGCTTAAGCATAAATTTCAGATAATTTATTCTGGATTTATATCAGTATATCCCATTTTAGCTCATGGCATTTTCCTTATTTAAAACAGTACAACTTTCAGCAGCATCTGACTTAGTGAAGAGAACCATGGCGGTTCTATGGATAGTGAGAGTCATGCTTTTTTAAACAAAAAAGCTGTCTGCCTATGTCAGTACTAGTGAAAAATGTTTTGTGTCATAATAGTGCATAAATAATAATTAAATCTTAGTCTGCTGTGAGGGATTTCAATCATCATTGTGTAGCTTTTTTTTCCCACTTTTCTCACACAATTTGTATAATTTTTTTATACTGAGAAACTTATAAAAGAGTTAATGTATTTGCATATATAAGTCAAATTTAGAAATGAGAAACATGAGAAAGCTATTTCATGGAAACAGCATCAGGAAATTGTGGAGAAATAAATATTATATCTCATCTCTGACCATGAGGTCATACTACACCCAGTTATGAAAAGTCATATTTATAAGCTCCTACCTCTGTGGTTTTGAAGGAGGGGGAGGGTATTCTCAGTTTGCACACTGCAAATCACAAAACCAAGGGTTTCTCTCTTATTGGAAGAAATTTGTGAGTTATATCAATCTAAAACTGGATACTGCTCCTAAAACCAGGTTTACATTATTAAAATACATAAATAAATAAATACATAAATAAACAGAAAGCTACACAGTGATAGGAGAAAGAAGTTATTTGCATTGTAGGAAGAAATCCTCAGATCAAGCAGCTTCTTTCCAAAGTGTCATTGTGGAATGCAGCAGCTGCTCCAGGTTCTGCTAACTGTGGAAGATTCATGACCAGAAGATTAATTTATTTTTCAGCAATTATAACTTATCTTACATCAGCCTGTTTACAATTTCTCTGCCATCTACATGCATTAACACCAGGTTAACGTGCAAAACATGCACTAAATTATGTCCCGGATAAATCTCTCCTGCTAAATACCACAGTCCTTGTCCCTACTTCCTGAGAATAACCTTTGATCTTCACATCAACAGAAAAAAATAATTACTATCTTTGCCCAACCCAGGACAAGTAATTTCACTCCCAAATAAGTGCACAGCTGGAGACAGATGTGTTCTTCTCTCTAGGCAGACCCTGCAGGGTCTTCCACAAGGCTTTATATCATACTTGTCATTCGTTTATCAGGATCCAAATGTCGTACACTGAAAATGTGTGTAAAACATTCTCAGAATTTCAAACAATAACAAATCAGAATGGGGGAGGGGGAGAAAAGGCTGCAGGAAAAAATAGAAGTCTCCCAGCTGTGCAAACTTAAGTTTGGATTGGAAGAAAATGCACTCCTAAAGTTACATTTTTGCCATCTTCAGCAAAAGTTGATTCAAGGAATATATTATCAAATTTTAAATTCAGCGCCAAACTAATGAAAAAATGTTTCAAGTCTTCCTTTAGCATGCACAAATACTCCAAACTGTTCTGTTCAGAGAAGTTTTGGAGCTCTCTTTTTTTCCACCCCCCCCCCCCCCCCCCCAATAAACTGGTATTTTCTGATGAAGACAAAGAACTCCTTAAATCTTTTGTTTCTTCAGTTAAAGAAGACTTTTCTTTGAAGCATATATGGTAATGTTTGATTCTGGTTTTCCCTTCTATTTAGTGCAATACAACACTTCATTTCTCTTTTAGGTATTCTGGGTTTTTTGTTCCTTAATAATATAAAAGATTGCATCATTTTTGCTACATTAGGAAAAAGAAAATTAAATAAGCAATATCATTTAGGGAAATTATTTATTTCAAATAATTTTTGATGGTACAATAAAAAGGAAAACTTTAAAGGAGAACAAAAATGCAACATATAAATGAAATATTTTAAACAGCAACTTGTGAAATTCAATATTGTAATAAATATGAATATTACAATATGGCTACTGATATATAATTTATTAAAGATTAACAAACATAGCTGTATATCCTAAAAGGAATATAAAAACCTTTAAGCCAGTTTAATGAGCCAACTGATATTAAACAAAACTTTAAACCATGTTCTGAGATCAAATGTCATATGAATTTGATCCAATATAACATGTGCAAATCAAAATGAAAAGAAACATGAAGCTAAGCAGTCTGGATAATTAATTTTTTTTTCTTTTAGTTCAGAAATCAGCAGTATTCAATCAGAAACTATCAATTATGTCTAAATGAGGGAAGAATTGCCCAATTTTACAGAATATTTTTTTCTGTTCTTTATAACTATTTACTTTGTCTTGAGTCTTCCCTGGTCTCTGCAGGACAGTCCTGGATTGCTGCTCCTTTGTTCATCATAACCTTTTCCACCTGACAGTGTCACCTCTCCCAGCTCTCTTAACATATCAGGGTGAAATCAAGTGGGAATACAATCTGGAGGGAGAAAAATGAAATGTCCTCTTAGCAAATTATCATGTTCAATTGGCTGCTTTTTCTATACTCTGCTATTTGAGGAGTCTGGACAGATCCATCTTCTCTGGCTGAAACAAAGGTCTTATCCTTGCTGAATGTTCTTTTTAATTCTGAGTCTGTTGCCCTCGGTAGATCCATATTAATGAGTAAAATCACTGAGGGATCACCGTGTGGCTCCAAGGACAAATGGTTTGGCAGGGTGATGTCCACAGGGCTGTCCACTGTGTACTTGTCTCCTGTGCAGGACAGCCTCACCCTTCCTGCCTGTTGGCAGCAGTCCCCTAGCACATACCATCCCTGAACTGAGCCTGTGAGACAGCGAGCATGAGCCAAAACTGTGTCCAGAGAAAAACCTGGACACAGAGATGGACAGCAGAAGAACACAGAAATAAGATGATCCCATGCCCCATCCCTGTTAAGCTGGAGCAGAGAGAGTTACAGTGACTAAAATTGCCATTCTGCTTCATGAGACATATTTCACGTGTATAGACGAGGCAAATGGACAAAATTACTGTGAGCATTTTCAGATCTTGGTCTTGTTCTTAAAAATTTTTAGTTATAGACAATTCTCAAACAGTCCCAAGGAAAACACAATTTTATCTGGGATTCATAGAACAGAACTAAAGCTAACAATGCAGGACAAGAAGAAAAAGCTCCCATACTTTTAAGCTGGTTGCTGAAATACAGTAATGGAAGCAATTCCTTTACTTTCTGTAGTGAAATCTCCTAAAATAGTGAGCTGAGTCTGATGAAAATTAGATCAGCTACTATGTAAGGGTCTCACATTACATTTGCCAGAGAAATGCAATAAGCTTTCTTGGTCTACATCTCTTTAACTTGTCTGTGAATGGGAGGCTTCACAGTGACCACAGGGTTCAGAGTCCAGATTACATACCCTGAAGCAAGCAGGGAGTATCACATTCTGCATAAAACATTTTTCAGCTAATATGACAGGCAATGATACTTTCAAAAGTTTCTGAGGGACTTAAAGGTGTAAGCTCCCTTTCCAGCTGGGACCCTGGTCTGTATATAGGGTATAGTCATGAAAAAGCTAAGCACCATAACCCCAAGGGTTTGCATATCTCACTATCCCCAAGAGTAATCAGCAAGACTGAAGCTGCTGTCTCTGAACAGGAACTGATAGGAGAACTGACTAAGCTAAGGAGCAGATACTGCTAAAGTAATTTTTGAAGATCTGCCAGAAAAGAAGGCCCTGTGTAACTGGAATTCATGCCATGAACTCCTTTGTGAACTAATATTTTTCAGTCTTGGGCAAAAAAAAGGTCTGCTATTGGTGGTAAAATGTAGTTATGCCAGTGCCAGTGCTCCCTTTTGCCCAAAAAGCTGAATGCTAGTGAGCAAGATGTGGTAATGTGGGGTTCAGAGCAGCTTGAGGAGATTACAGCCCACATATCCCATGTGAGTTCTTCAGCCATGAAGGTAATGATCCTCATAATCATAAACATATTTTCTCTCCTACATGAAGATTTAAGTATGCTACTGAAAGAACAATTCTGTCAGACAATACAAGAACCATTCATCCCAAAATATCCTTCAGAAGAGAAAATCAACTTGTAATATGTAGTTAAGGCACATATGGCTGAGAATGGCACGTTGTGTGGCACATACCTGGGAAGGCAGAGAGGCATGGAGGAGCTGCAGGGACAGTCCAGGGGTGGAAGATGACACTGGCTGCCTGGATTCCCAGCGGGTGGATTAAGCAAGACTGGATGCTCAGTGGGGTTCCAGGAGGGTCTGGCAGTGTCTGCTTCAGTTCTTGAGTCACCTTCTAGCACAGAGAAAATGTGGGATGCACAGTAGCCCATGTGGTACGGTCAGGGGATTTAGCCTCCAAATGAGAGCCCAACTTAAACTGCTCATGGCAAATAGAGCAGATGGGAAAATGAATGCGCAAATCTTCCATGGTTTAAGTGACTGGGAACCACCTTCACAACCACTGGGGTGAAGAAAACACCTTTATTCCTGCTTTTTCCATGTGGTGTAATCCAGCATTTGCCGATGGTGGGTTTCTACAGCAGAAAGGCTCAGACACATAGTTTGCCCACCCTTTGCTCCCACCCTTTCTCCTACACTCACCTGAGCATTTGGCTGGTGGTGTGTTGATCCTGGTCAGCATACTGAGGGTAAAAGCACCTGTTTTCACATCCAGCGTTTTCTGTCGGACTTGCATGCTGAAATGATTCAGCACAGAGAAGGCCAAACAGAGAAAGGGAGAGGTCAGGACCCTGGCAAAGGGTGGGTCTTGGAAAAGCTAAGGCAGGTTATGATTGCACACCAGCCCACTGAGTCAGCAAGGAAACAGGCAGGGAATGCCTGCTCCAAACATTAGGGCATCAGCTACTAAGCAAGTGTAGCCAGTACTGAAGAAACTCTCAAGAGGAGGTATTTAAGCATTTTATGGAACTTTACCAGAAGAAATTAGACTTCAGGCAATTTAAGGATCCAGTGATGCCTATATTAATGTTTATCTGAATTAATGTTTGGATGATAGTTTTTGCAGAATTTAAATAACATTTGGTTTACTATATCAATCTGAGGTTTCTAACTCATTATCTTAAAGGTACTTTTGAAAATGTTATGGAAATCCTTAATCTATTGGTTCTATTTCCAAACCATTCCAGGCTAATTGTAAAGGCTGTAGTAATTTCTATGTTATACAACAAACTCCTGATTCCAAGTGCCATATATTACTAAGCACCATGTTATCTAGTACTTAGCTAGAGCCTTTTTGAAAGATATGTTGTAATTGGGTGTCATGAATTCTGTTTTCTGATAACTATTATTACTATAGTGCTAGAATAAGTGGCTGAAAAACACATTTCTATGAATAAGTTTTGACTACATAATTTACAGTGCTTGCTTTGTTAACTTAGCCTCAGACAATCTTGTTTCCCAGTTCTTAAGAAAGACATAAAACCCCAATCCATAATGTCTTACTCTCCATATGGCACTTTTATCCAAACCTTAATTAGATATCTCTCACTTTCTGAGTGAGGCCCTAAAGACCATGCAGCAAAGCCAACAGCCTGCCATTCTTATACTTTTAATTATTCTTCAGACCTTTGTGAAGAAGTTTAAAATGCAATTTTAGCAGCAGTAGCAAAAAATCTGTTAGGCAAAAGGACAATAGAGGATCACATCTTTATGCATTTTCATGCATTGTATTTTATGATTAATATCTTCCTGTGAATGTCCTGTGATCACTGAGAAATGAGAAAAAAAATTTAAATATCAGGTACAAAGAAGAGGAAGACTAAATTCTCAAACTCTACTTCAACAGAATTAAAACAGAAAATTTCATGGGAACCAAGAGGAAGAAAATTTTTTACTGGTATTCTGATCAGATTTCCTATTACCTATTTTATAATTATAAAACCTATATTAATAATCACCTATTAAAATTGTTAACTTACAACATGCGTAGCTTTTCATAAAACAAGAAGAGTATAATAAGAAATAATCAAGTAAGACTCTTCCATTGCGAGCACAATCCATGGGATTAAAATCTGGGGTTTTTTGCATCTTTCCATTGTTTGGAAAGATGCAAAAATTATCATTGAGATAAATGCTTGCTGTTGAAACCAGGTTTTCTTTCTGTGCACACAGCGCTGGATGATGTGAGAAAGCTTCATTTTTCTCTGCTGCAATAAGATGACAGTGTCAAAACTCTAGGTGATAACAGCCAAACATAAAAACACTGCTCCAAAATGCACAAATTTTAGACCTAGCTCGAGGACCAAAGCTTCTAGTCTTATGCATGGCATCCCGAAAATTAATAAGCAAAGCAATATACAGTAGTGCCAAAGTACAAGCCCAAGCAATTCTGTTTTCATGCAAAGACAATGATGCCTTTTAACAGTCTCTATTTGAGCTGATACAGGTAGACAAACACCAGTGCTCAGCAATCCCAAAATAACAGCAAAACTTGAACAGAGGAGGACAGGGGAGCCCTAAAGCATGTGTTGCATGTGCAGTTCTTCAGGGAGAAGTCTTGTTCTACTCTTGAACACTATGCTGCATACTGCAGCTGTCCGGAGAAGCCACAAATCAGCCAAGCACAGACCCATCGCCCAGAGAGACATGGCTTTTTCCATGTGATTTTTACCTATCTTCCAGGGAATTCAGAAAGATGAAGGCAAAATGTAGAGCTTGGTACCATCACATTGTGTTCTGGTCTTTCCAGCACTATACTGAGTCCATAAACCAGTTTGTTTGCTCAGCAATTCTTTGCTTTATTGAAACAGACGGAGTGAAAAAGGCTAACATCCTTCCCAAAGACCAATCTGTATCCCAACAACAGACATTTTCTTTATTTATACATGCAAATAAAGCACAGGAAAAACAAATATCACATGGAAAGACACAGAGATATACAAATGTTGAGAACATATGTTAACAAATAGACATCTAAAACCATTTTTCAGTGATAGTGTGTGAAGGGGAAAAGTGCTTAGATATAAAAGATGTGTATGATAGAGTCACTAATGTATTGAATGCGGATTCAATATGCAGAACAGTTCACCAGTGTAAAGAGGGTTAGAGCCAGGAAAGAAGAAAATTAAGATAATTATGAATTTTGGGGCATCTATATTCTTGACTAAGGGCTTTTGTTCCCTTGAGGGGCTCTGACCCTACTTTTTGTTGTGCAGAAGATGAAAAAAATATGTATAGCTAGAAACCAACGTAAGAACTAAATCCATCTGGGGGTATCATCTCACGAATATTTTAATTGAATGCAGAGTCTGTCGTCTTGCTCCAAGCTATTTTCAGATAGTTCTCTTTCTCTTGACCTTTTAGATGAGGTCTACAGTTACATCTACCTTTCTTTTTGTTCTGAAAATAAGTGGAGAAATGGCAGCAAGGAGTATTCTGATCCAACGAGTTCACGGTGACTTTGGAGAAAGGCTTCTGAAGTGAACAATTGTAGATGCCCTGAGTGTGCATAAGCCCCAGACTACTCAGTTTTTGGTGACACTGAATATCCCTATGGAGCTATACAGTAAAGAATATTACTATAACCAATGACAGATACTTCTGTTAGGTTTATTCACTTTTATGTCATGAGGGGAATAAAGATCAACACAACTACCATGTCTATTTAGGCATTTATTTCTGTTCTCTCTGCCCTTGCATTAACATGTAAAATTCTGCAAAGACTGCTACAGTGCAGTGAATCATCCCACTAAGTCACTAACTAGAGAAAATTGCTCTCAGATTCAGTGAGTCATCAGCTCTGCACATTATGTTTTTCAGACTTTTTCACAATATCTAGAAAATTCTGAGATCATGAACAGTAGCATTTTGTAGACTGGAGAAAGTCAGTTCAAGGGACTAAACAAAAAAAAAATAAAAACTTGAGCAAATAATCTTCTTTGTTTATGCTTGAAGGAGTTCTTTCGTATTAAAAAAAATTTAGTACCTTGAAGTGAGAAAATTAGAAAAAAGGTAAAATTTTCTAAGGAAGGAATATTCTTTTAATTAAGAAATATATCAGATGGCATGTGTTTACACACTTGCATTTGTATATGCAAATAACAAATATGCACAAACAGGACTATCTGTTATCTGATCCCCTCATTAATATTAAGGTTTTTATCCTCTTAATTTTCCTTTTGGTTATTTTTGTATTACAAATGAGAACTGACAGAGGCTAACAAATCTGTGAAAATTTTGGTTTATCACAAAAAGAAGGGTATGGCAGATAAGAATTCAGAAACAAACCAACAACAGCATCTAATGCCACAAACAGCACTATTTTTGCTCTGCTTAATGGATCTGAATGTCAAAAGATCTCACAAAGCCTAATTACTTTCCCGTGTCCTTTACCAATGCATGACCAATTCATGCAGATATGGGATACTTGTTTTCCAAAGTTTCATTGTGAATCAATGATAGAAGCAAGGAACCAACCCAGAACTTTGAATCCCGTCTCAAGCTCTTGCACCAAGGAAACCTCTAACTCTGTTTTTTTGCCCTTTAAACTGTATCTGAAGTTTTAATAATTTATATGAAATGAACTGGATAAGTGACTTCAAATATTAGTGTCTAGACTTTCCAAAATTAATTGACTAAATTGCTTTGGTAGTCAGCTGACAGTCAGTCCTGTCGTTTCTCTACTGTCTAGATAGAAATGGAATAAAAGACCCACATGTATTAGAACATAGCCAAGAGTTAGTGTGTCTGATATGAAAATGGTACAATTTCCTCTTGCAAAATCTATCCAACAATTTCTAGCAATTCGAAGATCTACATCTTTGCTCATAAGCACAGGTTAAATAAGGTTAAAACTTTACTAGCTGGGCTTTATTTATGCTGTAGTAGACTCTTCAAAATATCTACCATACAGTCTTGACCTTGGAAGAGACTGGGAATGCAAGTGCTGTCAGTGGTTCGTACTTATACAAAACTGAGTCAGCATCAAAAATGTCAGCAGAACACTTTCTGTTTTAATTTCATTCTCTCAACATTTTCATTGGAAATGTGTGTACATTTCAACACTGGGCTGCCAAACTTAAGGAATTCCCAGCTCTGCACAGATGATTGCACTGTATGGTTAACCACTTCACTGCATCCCTGGAGCACTGCACTAAGCAGGGGAGCAGCCACCTTTTCACAGAAGCAGGGCCCTTGCAGCTGCAATGAACCAAAGACAAAAGTACTCAGAAGTGCTCCTGACAGGATGTTAGTCAGAAGATGGTGCTATTATGACAGAACTTTTAAGGCAGCTGAGTCTCCGTGGGAAAATGCAAGAGAAAGCAAACCCTAAGTGTAAATTAAAAGCTGATTTCAATGTGAGCTGATGTTCTGCATCTCACTGAATACTCTTCACAGAAATGTACTCACTAGGACACCCTTTAATTCTACACCTTGGCTTGCTTGTGTTGAGGGGGAAATGCATAGGAAAACATTTTAAATTGCCATTCACAAAATTTTGCACTCTCATTTCAATAATGTCAGCTCTCACATGATAAAAAATAGATTTTTTCAACCCTCAAATGACAAAAAATTACATTTTTATTAATTTCTACCCCACATAGTGTGTTTCCATGTCAATATATGGGTTTTGACTGAGTTGGTGCTGATTCTGCAAAAACCTGGAAATAGGCAGTAATATAATTTCATAGCCTCTAAAACATTATTAACTCAAATATCTAC